GGGGATGCGCTCACATGCCGAGGTGCAGGAAGGGAGGCCGCAGTGGCCAGGGGCCGGTGCTCGGACCAGACCCCGTGTTCTCAGCCCGTCCTGCCAGGCAGTGGGCTGGGGGAGCCGTCGGCTGCACAGGAGGGTGTCTCTGTCCCGTGGCCGTCGCTCCGATCATGGGACATCCTGTCGTAAGCGGAGGCTCCGGAGGCCTGGTTTCCAGCTGGAGCAGTTCTGCGTGTGTCCCAGGGTCCCCACGTGGCCAGTCCCGTGAGGGCAGCTTCCTGGCCTGGCTGCCCGAGGATCCTGTTACGCACCTCCCGGCGGCCGGCCTGCCCTCTGGCCAGCTTCTTCAAGAAGGAGGCAGAGGCTGGGAGAGTTTCCCCCTCGGAGTGTGAGCTCAGCTGCTGTCCATAAAGCTGAGCTTTCCAGACCCAAAGGCAGTGCCACTCCTGGGGCCCAGCAGGAGCCCGTCAAGGTTTCCCTGGCGCAGGGTCAGGGTCGAGCGCCCCTGAGCCTTTCTTGGAGGTGCTGCAGCCCCGAGCGGGTGGGGACCAGGGTGTGTGTTCTGTTACCGCCTCAGAGGTGCGGCCTGTGGGCTTCAGCTGGCTCATCCACCGGCGGGAATTGGGGGCATTCCAGGAGGGACGGGCCAGGAGGTGTCCCTTCACTCTGGGAGAGCTGTTCCACCACGAGCTCCCCATCCTCTGCCACACCGATGGAGCCCCCTTCGCAGGGCGGCATGGCCGATGCCGGACAAACGGCGCCGTGGTGACCAGTACCCACGCTGACAGCGGCCAGCGTCATAGCCCCTCCTCTGTGCCACCTGGACTAGTGTCCATGCTCTTCCCGTTGGCTCCAGGCCCCAGGCTTTCCCACACACTCTCTGGGCTCCGTCTGCTGGGAGGACCTCTGCCTCGTCCCCAACCTCAAGGTGCTGCTCAGGAGTCACCTCCTCTAGCCGTCCTTCCCGGCACTGTCCCCACTAGGGACTGTGTACTTGTTTAGACAGGGACTGGGCATGGGGCCCGCCCTTTATGAGCCCCTTCCAGGAAGTTCACCCCAGATTCTACCTGTTGGTTCCAGTCCCAGGGGGGGCTTTTTGTTTGTTTTTCTGGTGGACATCAACATGTGCTGCTTCAATCGCTCTTTGAACACCCACAGTGTAAGGCCTCTCGGGGCCTCAGTTTCTTATCCCAGAAATGGGGATAATATTGCTTGTCCTTCCTACCTTACAATTCCTCCAGGGACGCCTCGCCCCAGCAGCCCCTGTGATTCTTCCTGAAGGACCTGAGCAGGCAGGCTGGGCCTGTGCCGGGGGGCTGGGGGGCAACACTAAGAACAGACCAAGCAGCCAGCCACACTCCAGGGACACAAAACCCCCGCCTGGCGGCTGCCTGGAGCAGAATCAGAACTGTTGCCATCACTGTCACCACGTACATACGTACGTAGCTCTTGTTCGTGCCATACCCTCCTGGCGTGTGGGGGTTGCTTACATCAGCTTCAGATGCCCAGCAGGGTACGGCCCTGCCAGGTGACCTGGCCCCACCCAGGTGCAGAGAGCAAGCCCAGGTGAGGGTGAGAACAGTTGTCAGCAAGTGAAAGCAAACGTTGACACCATGGGGAGGTCAAAGGGCAAGCAGCTGTGAGAGTGAGAGGAAGAGAGGGGTGATCAGGCTGTGCAGGGGAGCGGTGGCTGGGAGGGAGGGACCTTACAGGTCGGGACGGCAGCCGGCTCCCCGGCTCCCCGGCCCAGTCTCCGCCTCCCGCAGCTGCGCTGGAAAATCCCCTGGATCTGAGGTCAGAGGCGGTGGGGGCGGAGGGGGCGGGGGGATGACAGGGACGCGCTGAGCCGGGACAGCCATGCGCTGTCCATGCCACACTTGCCACTTTCCCTGTTGGCCTGTCATGATTGTTCCAGGATGTGGCGCGTGGTTTTCATTTCCTCTCTCCCACCTCGTGATAACAACGGCCGCTGTTTGTGTGCCCGGTGTCCTGGCCGCTGTCCCCACATTGTGTCATCCCGTCCTCCGGGGGCGGAGGGCAGGTGTGTCCTTTCAGCGGCAGGCTGCTGTCTGCGGGAGGCACCCTCACGGCGGACCCGGAGGGCGTGTCTCCGCCGGGCGGGGTGCCTTCCTTCCCCCGGCCGGACCCCTAACCTGAGTGGGCTCCCTGCTGATGCTCCCGGCTCCCCCATTCCCAGGGCAGCCAGCCTGCCCCCCGAAACCTCCTGCTGCCTCTCTAAGCCACGCACAGCCCCCACAGGCCCATCTCCTCCTTTATATATATATTTTTTATAAAAAATATATAAAAAATGTATTTTTTATATATATATTAATTTTTTACAGAGAGGAAAGGAGAGCTATAGAGAGTTAGAAACATCGATGAGAGAGAATCATCGATCAGCTGCCTCTTTCACACCCCCCACTGGGGATGTGCCCACAACCCAGGTAACATGCGCTTGACCAGAATCAAACCCGGGACCTTTCAGTCCGCAGGCTGACGCTCTATCCACTGAGCCAAACCGGTTTTGGCTCCCACTCTCTTTTTTAAAGTGGAATTTATTGGGGTGACATTGGCTCACAAAACCACGCAGGTGTCTATTGTACAGCTCGACAAAGCACACTGCGTTGTGGCCCATCGCCCAAAGCAAGCTCTTCCAGCCGCCTCTGTCCCCCCTTTGCAGCCTCTACCTACTCCCACCCCTTTCCCTCCGGCTACCGCCACACCTGCTTTCCTTTAAAAAACAGAGTAATTTTCCATTCCATTTGGAAAATAGGGAAAAGAAGAAAATTGCCCACAAAACCTATACCCTTATCTACCTAGCATTTTGGTATGTTTTCTCTCTGTCTATTTCTCTCTTCCTGCTGTGCATAATTTTTGCTCCATTAAATTATGTAAATTATGTGATAACAAACGTCCTGTGGGCCAAGCTCGCCTTTAGGAACTCAGACTCCAGAGCCCGCCCATCTAGCTGTGTGACCTTGGGCTGTCACTTTACCTCTCTGTTCTGTCATCTCCTCAGGCGTGGAATGAGGACTACAGTGGTTACAACTGTGTAGTGGGGGTGCGGACAGGATGGCTAATAGGTGTCAGCTCTTGGCACTGGCCCTCGGCGAGGCCCCTGCGTGTCTGGTGTGAGTAGTCGTAGGAATTGTGCAGGAGGATCAAAGGCGAGGAAGGACATTTCAGATAGGCAGGTCAACGCAGACAGGCAAGGAGGAGTGAAACAGCATTGCCTTCTAGAATCCTGCATGGTGTGGAGCTGACAGGGTGGGACTGCAGGGGAGAGGCTGCAGGGGTGGGGGGTGGAGGGGTGGAGGAGGTGCAGGGGTTCTGCAGGCCGTGCTTGTGGCCCATGAACAGCATGGTGCGCCGTGGACTTGAAGCCGCTGAGCCTGTCACCGAAGGCCACGTGCTTGACCCGAGTTGTCGGCGAGGCTGGGATTTGAAGGCAGTTTTGCTCCAGAGCTGAGCTGTGTGCTCAGTGCACCTGCCTCCTGTGGTTTTGTGAGAATGACACGAGACAGGGACGTGACGTGTTTAGCTCCGGGCCTGCTACCTAGTAAGTGCTCAATAAACGCCTCTGATATAATTTTTATTGGCACGTATTCTCTGTTTAATTAAACGAGGCCTTTTGTGGTTCCTGTTGCCCCTAAAGTTGATTTTCTCCTCAACACACAGCCAGTGTGTGACTAGTGTCCACTGAAGTGTCCACTCGTCTGCCCACTCTCCGCCCTCTGTCCTCGGGCCTGACACACCCTTTGGCAGGTGTGTGCCGCACAGACAGGGCGGCCTCTGGCTGACCGTCTGCTCACTGTGGGGACACTCAGGAAGGCAGTGTGCTTTCTGGAACCCAGGAAATGACAAGACATCTGATTCTGTCATCCATGCCCGGCCGGCGTGACTCAGTGGTTGAGCGTCAGTCTATGAACCAGGAGGTCAGGGTTCAAATCCCGGTCAGGGCACGTGCCTGGGTTATGGGCTTGATCCCCTGTGGGGGGCATACAGGAGGCAGCCGATCAATGATTCTCTCATCATTGATGTCTCCATCTCTCTCCCTTCTTCTCTGAAATTAATACAAATATATTTTTTTAAAAATACAATCATTCTGGCCAAAACTGGTTTGGCTCAGTGGATAGAGTGTTGTCCTGCAGACTGAAAGGTCCCAGGTTCGATTCTGGTCAAGGGCATGTACCTTGGTTGCGGGCACGTCCCCAGTAGGGGGTGTGCAAGAGGCAGCCGATCTATGTTTCTCTCTCATCGATGTTTCTGACTCTCTCTCCCTCTCTCTTCCTCTCTGTGAAAAATCAATAAAATATGTTTTAAAAAGATAAATACATAAAATAAAAAATATAATCATTCTGTCATCCAAACAGGAAATCTAATAACAGAAACTGTGACCCCAAATCGGTGGTCACTTTTTCTGAGTCGGTTCATTCCTCTTCATTTCCGGGAACGTGGTTTTGTGTATCCTCCGAGCGCCTTGGGAACCAGGGTGGCAGGTGTTCACGGTGTCAGACAAGGACTTACCGTTCCCTCCCTGGGGTGTGAGCCCCCGTCCCTGTGGTTCGGGTAGAGAGGGGTTTGTGGAATTGAAAGGACCCTGCCACGCTCTTCGATACCAAAAAGTTGACTCTCCCCCTCCCCCACGTAAGGAGAGCCGCCCCAGTGGCCCAGGGCAGGGCCGCCATGTGTGCATTCCTTTGATCGGCACGGCTCCATACCACAGATGAGCAAACTGAGTCTCTGCTGGGACCCTGGGTCCGTCGCCTGTGCCGGTGGCAGCTCTGTTACCCCCACAGGCCTCTTCCCTCCCAGCCAGTGCCGTTCTCTCTCCCTTCCTCGTCAGCTCCCTCTGGGCCCAGAATGGGGAGCCGCCTGGGCACCTGGGCAGGAAACTGCTGTCCTTGGTGCGGCGGGCCTGGGGCCTGAGCCCTGCTCACCAGAGACCCCGTTTCCTTCCAGACGGAGGGGGAAGGCAGCAGGGCCCCCCACCGGCCCCGCAGAAGATGCAGTTCTTCGGCCGCCTGGTCAACACCCTCAGCAGCGTCACCAGCTTGTTCTCTAACCCGTTCCGGGTGAAGGAGGCGTCTCTGGCCGACTACACCTCCAGCGGCCGGATCCGGGAGGAAGGACAGCTGATTCTGTTCCACAGCGTTCCCGGCCGCACCTGGGACTGCGTCCTGGTCAACCCCAGGCACGCGCAGAGCGCCTTCCGGTGGGTGCCGCTCCGCTGTGACACGCACACCTTTCCTTTGGCTCCCGTCCCTGGCTTCGGGTCACATCTGAGGGGTCAGGAGAGGGCCGGGAGAGGGAGCCCCTCTTCCACGGAGGGAGGGGCTTCCTGCACCCCCCCTTCTGGCCCACCAGGATCCCTGGAGCAGCGGCTGTTTCCTGCTGCGGGGCTGACCCATGCAGACAGAGAGGCTAGGGCCCAGGGGGCACCCGCAGCCCTGGGTCTTTAAGGGCATAACAGTCTCAGGGACTGGCCTCGTTCTGTTCAGGGAGCCTGTAAGAGGCAGATAGCTGCCACTTCTCAGGGCACACTGGGTCGGCCATGGGCTGGAAGGGAGCGGTCAGAGCCAGCTGCAGGGCTATTGGGAAAAGGGGAGAGGAGTGGCCAAGGACCTAAAATGCCCGGTCCAGAGGAGCGTGGGATCCTGCAGGCTGGCACTGAGTTGGCTCGTACCAACAGCCCCCTTTCTGTTTGTTTATTCCTCTCGCCACCCCGTCCTCCATCCACCCAGCCACATGCTCCGAGCACCTCGTGTCTCCGGAGACGACAAAATGCACTCTGTGCTTTCAAGGAGCGCGCAGTCCGTGAGGGAGGCCACCTGCAGACCAGGCAATGCTACGTGAGGGGCCACGGAACGGGGACACAAGAGGCACCACTTCCTGGTGGCTCCTCTGTGTGGGAGAGCAGAATGATAAGGTTGTTCCAGACGGAGGCACAGAGGGGGGACCCGCCGGCAGAGGCTCTGGCTGGACCCAGGGCCTTGGTGAGAAGGGAACCGCGGGTCATTCTGAGTAAGCAGGCGTGGCAGCAAGAGGCTCAGGAAGTGGCAGCTGGGGGTGGGGGGGGTTAAGGTCCAGCCACCAGAAGAGCAAGACAAGGTATCGGCCCCAGCCAATCAGGTGAGAAATCAGGGCCTGGCTCCACGGGGAAACGGAGGCAGAGGCACCCTCGTGGGCGGGTGGGCAAGAATACAGCTCAGTGGCCAGTCCAGACGTAGTTTAAACAAAGCAGCACTAGTGGGAGCTTTGGCTGCCCTCCCCCAGGCCTGCAGCTGACCAGGGCAGTGGGTCCACTCTTTGAAGCCCACTCATCCTTATTTTTTTAATCCTCACCCGAGGATATGTTTTTTTGATTTTAGACAGAGAGAGACGACAATGCGAGAGAAACACTGATCTGTTGCCTCCCATACGCGCCCCGATCAGGAGCGGAACTTGCAATCTTTTGGTGATGGGATGACACTCCCAACCAACTGAGCCACCGGGCCAGGGCCACCCTTGCTTTTGGGGTGCCCTGTCCCGGGGGCCCCACACCCTCCACGCGCAAATCATCACGAGTCCTGTGAGTTGTAAGTATCCATTGGCCGGATCCCAGCTTTGCCTTGGGAAACTTGAGCCCCCGCTCTGGGCAGACTTCCATCTCGAAGCTTAAACCCTTTACCAGCAGTTTATTTACTACACCTGTACTCAGCGCCAGCATCCTCCAGCGACCCGGGGAGGCAGCGAGGAGGCAGCGTCTCCTGTGTGAGTGAGAAAACTGAGGCTCAGGAAGGAGCAGGGATGCTCCCGGTTGTGCAGGAAGCAGCAAAGAAGCTGAATCTTTGCATCATCCGGTTCCGAATCCGTTTCTTTTTGTGTGTGGTGTTTCCACGTGTTCAGGCCACACAGAGAGCAATGGTGGGTGGGGTTTCAAGCTAAGCTCATATCTCCTCTTGGAATTCCTGACATTCCTCACTTGGCTCTGGCGTCTGTTTTTGTTCTCCTCTCTAACCTGCTCCCATCCAAGCATTTCCGTGTCAGCAAAGGGCACCCACCATCCATTGACATGGTTGTGCAATCCAGACACCCAGGCGTGATTCCGATTTCTCCGCCCCCACAGCCTCAGATCTGGGTCCTTAACAAATTCTGTTGGTTTTCCTCCCACGTATACCCTGAGTCTGCTTCTTTGTCAGTTACACTCAGGTCGGGCTTGAGTGACAGGTACCACGCCCAACGTGGGAGTGGGGAAACAGGATAGAATTTCCGTTTTCTCCTAAGTGACAGCCACGGCAGAAAGGCCTGGTACTCAAAGTCCTCAGCGGCCCAGGCTCCTTCTGTCTTGTTGCTCCACCACGTGTGCTTCCATTCTCTAGATTAGATGGCCACGTTAGGTCAGCTGTCACAGCCACCCTTCCAGCCAGCAGGAAGGCGGAAGGGCCCTCTCTTTAGGAATGCTTCTTAGAAAGTTTCACACATGCCTTCCACCTAAATGCCTTTGGCCAGGAATTCCAGTCCCATCCTAATCCAGAATCAGGGTCCTGTTACTCTCCATTTTGCTGCTGGTCTCTTTGCAGGCCATGGTGGTTGTGTACCTGGACTCCTTGCTCCCTGCCTCCTGGGATGTTGCTCTGTCTGCGTCTTTTTAAAAAATTATATATATATTTATTGGTTTCAGAGAGGAAGGGAAAGGGAGATAGATACATTGCCATACAAATGTGCTTTAAAGAACCTCTTTCTCGATTCTGCTCTCTGCACAGCCACTTCCTGTACATACTTATGAGACATACTGTCCCATAATTTTCCTTTTAAGAAATATTCTAATCAGTTTTTGGTGTCAGCTTTATGCTAGACTTATAAAAAGAGTTGATATGTCGAAACCGGTTTGGCTCAGTGGATAGAGCGTCAGCCTGAGGACTGAAAGGTCCCGGGTTCGATTCCAGTCAGGCAAATGTACCTTGGTTGTGGGCACATCCCCAGTGGGGGGTGTGCAGGAGGCAGCTGATCGATGATTCTCTCTCATTGATGTTTCTAACTCTCTAACCCTCTCTCTTCCTCTCTGTAAAAAATCAATAAAATATATATTTTTTTAAAAAGTTGATAAGTAAGCCTCCCATTTTCTGAAAATTGTTTAAGACTGATATTTCTTTTTTTTAATGTCTGGGAGAATTCATGAGTGAAGCCATCTGAGCTTGGAGTTATTGTGGGAAGTTTTTAAAATACAGTATGTATTCAGTTTCTTTTGTATATTTTTATTGATTTCAGAGAGGAAGGGAGAGGGAGAGAGTCTGTGCCCTTCACCGGAATCGAACCTGGGACCCTCCTGTCCTCAGGCTCCTCAGGCTGACACTCTATCCACTTAAGCCAAAATGGTTAGGATTGTATCAATTTCTTTAACAGATATAGGACTACCAGATTTTCTCTTTCTTCTAGTGTCAGTTTTGCTATGTTGTGTTTTCAAGAAATTTGTCCACTTTAAGTAATCAAATTCATTGGCATAAAGTTGTTCATAATATCCTGTTTTCTTTTTAATATCTGAAGGCTCTGAAGAGATGGTATTTTGTATTTTCTTTATTTCTTGTTCAGATTTGTTAGGAATATGTTGCTTTTTTAAAAATATTTTTTAATTGATTTCAGAGAGGAAAGGAGAGGGAAAGAGAAACAGGAATATCAATGATGAAAGAGAACCACTGGTTGGCTGCCTCCTGCACGTGCCACACTGGGGATTGAGGCTGCAACCTGGGCATGTGCCCTGACCAGGAATCGAACCGTGACCTCCTGGTTTTAGGCCGATGCTCAACCACTGAGCCACACTGGCTGGGCTAGTTTTATATTTTAATCATGCAGTGCTTGAGTCTGGAGTTCCCCCCCCCCCCCATAATGCTTTTGCAATTCATGCTTGTTTTCTAATTTTTCCATTTCCCCTCTCTGTTAGCTTGGAAGTTATACACTCTATTATCTCTTTGTGATAACTGTTAAGAGACAGTTCTCTGTGGGTGTCTTATGTGTCTGCACACCTGTGAACAGAGACGCTGGCTACCTTTGCTCGGGCTGTCTGTACAGGGATGTCTGCAGGGAACAGCCTTGGAAGGCAGAGAGTGGGTCTCTCTCCAGAGCAGGGGGCCGGTCTGCTCTAAAGACAGTATCTTCCTCCATGGCAAAGCTTAAACAGATTTGCTTATTGACAATGACAGAAGATTCAAGTTCCCTGCACTCAGGGTTTCTCTTCTCTGATGCAACATGAGCAAATGTCACCTGACCCTCTTCATGTCACCCTGTGGGAACTGGATCCCAGGGAATTGGCACAAATGCCGATACTCTGGCTGCTGCTGTTGCTGTGAGTAATAAACTGCCCTTTGTCTTTGATCCAGGAATCTTGTGTCTCCTGCCAGCATCCATGAAACTGTGTCAGGCTAACTTGTTAGTTTGCAACTAGGGCAAAATCTGAAACCTTCCACAGTTCTTGATAGAGAGAGCCCTAGAGATTGTTACACACATCCTTGGGCTTACTGAAGTATAATTGGTACTCTAGAATCTTCCAGAACAATAAACGGGCCTGGGAACCCTTTAACTGCATTTATCCCCCTCCAGGCTTTTATGCCATGTACTTTTTAAAAAATTTTTATTAATATTTTTATTTTAAGTACAATAAGACATTATATTGTCAGTATTCATTTAAATTTGCCTATAACTATACCATTTTCATTTTTTTCAGCATCTTTATTATTTTTTTAAAAAATATATATATATTTTATTGATTTTTTACAGAGAGAAAGATAATCAGAAACATCAATGAGAGAGAAATATCAATCAGCTGCCTCTTGCACACCCCCTACTGGGGATGTGCCCGCAACCAAGGTACATGCCCTTGACTGGAATCGAACCCAGGACCTTTTAGTCTGGAGGCCGACGCTTTATCCACTGATCCAAACTGGTTTCGGCAGCATCTTTATTGTTGATCATTCACCTGGGATAAGGTTCCTTCTACTTCATGAAAATAATTTTATAATATTTTCTTTTGTGTAGGTCTGCTAATGATAGTGTCTCTCTCTCTCTGGCTAGTGAAATGTTTTTGTTTTGTTTTTGGTGTTTTTAAAAATATTTTTATTGATTTCAGAGAGGAAGGGAGAATGGGAAAGAGATAAAAACAATGATGAGAATCACTGATTGGCTGCCTCCTGCACACCTCACACTGGGGATTTAGCCCATTACCTGGGCATGTGTCATGACAGGGAATTGAACTGTGACTAGTGAAATGTTTTAATTTCAACTTTATACTTGGAGGTTCTGTGTTTGTCTGCTTTCTGGCCATAGAATTCTCTTCGGTGTTTATTTTCCCACAGCTCTCTCAGGATGTCGTTCCATTGTCTCCGGCTTCCATTGTTGAGAAGCCAGCGCTCAGTGTACTGGTTGTCCTTTGAAGGTGATCTTCTCCTCTGCTATTTTTAATATTTCCTCTTTGCATTTTGTTTTCAGCAGTTGTAGTGGGGTACATGTGTCAGTTATTGCTATGTTATAGTATGTTCGCCAATGTATGTCATTCTCCGGTATTGCTATGTAACAAACGACTCCAAAATGTAGTGGTTGAGAACAGTCTCAGTTATTTAGCTCACAAATCTGTCATTTGAGTGGAGCTCAGTGGGAAAGGCTCAGTTCTAGTCTACACAGCACCAGCTGGGGTGGCTTGTCTGCGAGACCCACTGTTACAATGACTCACTCACAGTTGGCCAAGCTGGTGCTGGCTGTTGGCTGGGCGCTCATCCTGGCCGAGGGTCCAGGACCTACAGTCACCTCCCTGGGTGCTCAGCTTCCCTAGGGCACGATGGCTGGATCCCAAGAGAAAAGAGGTGGAAGCGTCCAGTCCCTTAAGGCCTTGGTCTAGAAACGAGGACAGTACCACTTCTGCCATATTCTAGAAGTAAAGAATGACAGAGCCAGATTAAAGAGTAAAGAGACAAATTCCCTCCCAGTGGGAGGAGTGTTGGAGAATTTTAAAGGTTCTAAACCTCTACAAAGTCCTTAAGTGTAGACTTCTCTTTCTCCTTCTTCCCCCTCTTCTGCTTTTCTTCTTGGTGGAGGGGGGCGCAGAAGGTATTTTATTTGTTTGTTTGGTTTTTAATATAATAAATCTTTATTGCTCAGATTATTACAATTGCTTCTCCTTTCCCTCCCCCATAGCTCCTTTCCACAGAAAGTATTTTATTTTATTTACTTTTTAAAATATATTTTTATTGATTTTGTACAGAGAGGAAGGGAGAGAGATAGAGAGTCAGAAACATCGATGAGAGAGAGTCATCCATCAGCTGCCTCTTGCACACCCCCTACTGGGGATATGCCCGCAACCGAGGTACATGCCCTTGACCGGAATCGAACCCGGGCCCTTCAGTCCCTAAGCCGACACTCTATCCATTGAGCCAAACTGGTCTCGGCTCCACAGAAAGTATTTTAAAACAGTGTTTTTCATCAATGTTGGAAAGTTCACAGTTGTTAACTCTTCATATATGGCTTCTGTCCAATTCTCTCTCTCTTCTGTTTTTGGGGCTCTACTTATAATGTATGTTAGATATGCTCACTATATATATATTCTATATCTTTTATCTACTTTCCTGTATTTTCCCATCTTTTGTCTTTTAAAAAAAAATATATTTTATTGATTTTTCACAGAGAGGAAGGGAGAGAGATAGAGAGCTAGAAATGTCGATGAGAAATATCGACCAGCTGCCTCCTGCACACCCCCCACTGGGGATGTTCCCGCAACCCTGGTACATGCCCTTGACCGGAATCGAACCTGGGACCTTTCAGTCCGCAGACCGACGCTCTACCACTGAGCCAAACCGGTTTCGGCCCATCTTTTGTCTTTCCATGCTTTATTCTGTTCAATCTTTCTGACCTATTTCCTATCCACTGATTTTATGTCAGCATTGTCTAATTTGCTATTATACCTAGCCATTTTCTTCATTTTGACAATTGCATTTTTAAAATTTTGTAATTTTCGCTTGTTTATTTATTTATTTATTTATTTTATAGTTTAAAGTTCCTGGCCAAAATTATAAGTCTTCTATTTTATCCTCTTGAATATTGTCCCAGTTGTTTTAAAGTCTGTATCAGATAACTTTAAAATCTGCAGCCTTTTGTGTATAGATCTGTTTCTGTTGGTTTTCTTTTCTGTTGTCGTATCTCCTCGTGGGCCTGGCGTGTTCTGATCGGGCCAGACTTTGGATGTGCAACCATGCTTGTAGGAGTGATCTGAAGCCTAGTGTGATGTTTCCTTTATGTACCGTGTTTCCCCGAAAATAAGACATCCTCCAAAAAGAAGACCTAGCGCATGGAAAGATAAGACATCCCCTGAAAATAAGACCTAGCGCAACTTTGGGAGAAAAAATTAATATAAGACACTGCCTTGTTTTCGGGGAAACAGGGTATGTATCTCCCAGGTACGTGGGAGCACGCTCACAGGGGACCGCCTCAGGCCAGGTTCTGGGACAAGTTATTTGAGGCTGAGCCCTTGGGAAGGCTTTCCTAGGTTGAAGGCTTTCAGGACCCCACCCCACAGCAAGGTGGTGACCAGGGCTCTGCCTGCAGACCCTGTCCCTGGAGCCTGTGAGGCTGTTGATGCTGCCGCCTGTCCCTCCAGCCTCTCGAGTGACAGCATCCTCACATCCTGGTTTCCATGATCCCTGCCCGCCCCGCAGTTCCTCTGTCTGACTCGGTCTCCGGCGCCTCTCACAGGTGCTTTGTATGTTTTGTCTGGCGTTTCTGGTGGTCCCCAGCCGGTGACCTGGCTCACGTTACCTCTGCTGTTAACGGAAGTGGACGTCCTCAGAGGGACCCCGTGTTCTTTTGGGTCATCTCTGCCAGCATTGAAAAGCCGGATTATACTTGCCCATTAGGAGCCTTTAGTTTAAGGTGACTAGACGTCCCGCTTTTTGGGGGGACGGTCTCAATTTTTTAACAATTTGTCCCACATCCTGCGGCGTTTTTAAAAAGTCCCGATTTTTTGAAAAATTGGGACTTTTTAAAAACGCCTCGGAACAAATTGTTAAAAATCAGGACCGTCCCGCCAAAAGCGGGATGTCGGGTCACCTTACTTTAGTTGCACCCTCTGCGGAAACTCACATTGTCCGTATTTACTGTCTCCGGCTCCTCACATCCCATTCGTTCCTAAACGCATGCTAATGAGGCTTTGGTTCCCACACTCTTGTCAAGGTCACCCGTGCCTCAGCAATGCCAAACCCAGTGACCAATTCCAGTTGTCATTTTACCTGACACCACAGCAGGATTTGACCCGGAGCACTCCAACAGTGAGAGGTTGGTGAGATGCAGCGAAAACCAGCCACGGAGAATGAGGAGTGGCCTTTCCACATCCCCCTTTCCTACTTTGTTTTTCTAAACACTTAAAACACACACACACACACACACACACACACAGACACACACACACACACACACACACACACACAGTGCTTTCAGAGAGGAAGGGAGAGGGAGAGAGGGATAGAAACATCAATGAGAGAATCATTGATTGGCTGCCTCCTCACTCCCCATACTGGGGATCAAGCCTGCAACCCAGGTGTGTGCCCTGACTGGGAATAGAACCAGTGACCTCTTGGTTCATAGGTCAACACTCAACCACTGACCCACACCGGCCAGGTTTTATGGCATTTTTTACCAGACAGTCTGTTTCTCATTCTTCCTTATTTTGATTTCATCTTGCTCGTTCTGTTGATCTCCCCCATGAGAATGGGGGCTCCGGCAGCGGGGGCTGTGGTCTGTTTTGCTCCTCCATTTGCCCTCCATTTGGGACAGTGTGGAGCAGGGAAAGGAGCTGGCGCTGCCAAGCCCCCTCTCTGGCTCTGCCCGCTGTGGCCTGTGCGGGTGTGGGAAGCACCGGTGCACTCACAGCCCTGGCCAGACCTCCAAGCCACCCTCACGGACGGTCATGACTTCAGCTTTTAAAGTGTTTTTATGTTACTGTCTCAGCTGATCCTCACAGCACCTCGTGAGATAGGTGGGACGGTGCAGTTAGTCTCGTGTCAGAGAGGGCTCAGAGAGAAGCGGACTTGTTTTAGAATGACAGCAGACCTGGGACTCAAACTCTGCTCTTTAAAAACGAGCAAAACGTTCCCCAGCTGCAGTGGCTCAGTTGCTTTAGCCTCGGTCGCCCTGCATTCCAAAAGGTCACTGGTTCAATTCCAGGTCAGGGCACAGGCCTGGGCTGTGGGTTTGATCCCCAGCAGGAGCCTATGGAAAAGAACCGATCCACGTTTCTCTCCGCACCCCCCCCCCCGCCCACCTTCCTCTCTCTAAGCATGTCCTCGGGTGACGTGTTTATATATATTCTTTTTTATATATAACAAAGCATGTTTCCTGACTGTAAAAATAATTTCAACTCACTGTACAGAAATGGATAGAGAAGAACGTGTAAGTTGTTACGCTATCACACACATTCTGACATTTCCTTTTAGTCTTTTAAGTACAGTTTCTATCACGGATCATACAAGATTTGTATCCTGCTTTTACATTTAACGTTGTAAAGTGACTTTTCCCTGTTCTTTAAATAACTGACTTTCACAGCTGCGTAACGTTCCACCATATAGATGTACACGGTTTATGCAATATTCTATGGCTGGACATTCGGGTTAAACATGCTGACTTCCCGCTGTGTGGGAGGAGCTGGCATGGAGGCTGGGGCTGCCAGACATGACAGACAAATTAGAAAGCGGGTAAAACAAAATCTAAAGGCACCACATGATGGTTCTTAAAAAAAGAGAGAGAAGGAAATACTTTCAAATAAAAACAAAGCCCCAGCTCCATTTAGGGGTGTGGGGTGGGGCGGGGAGTCCGGCTGCAGCGGGTCAGTGTGCACCGGGAGGCAGGCAGCGCCCTGAGGGTGAGGACCCACCGCTCCTGATGCCCGAGGTGGGTGGGCGGGGCTCCTCCGGCTCATTCTGTCTCCCTCCTGGGTCCCGGCTCCGCAGACTCTTCCAGCTGGAGACGGAGGCCGAGGCCCTGGTGACCTTCCAGCAGTATTCCTCCCTGCTGCCGCCCTTCTACGAGAGCTCCGCCCAGATCCTGCAGGTGGACGTGCTGCAGCAGCTGAGCGACCTCATCCGCAGCCACCCCAGCTGGTCCGTGGCCCACCTGGCGGTGGAGCTGGGCATCCGAGAGTGCTTCCATCACAGCCGCATCATCAGGTGGGTGGGCCTGGCCGGGCGGGGCCGCAGGGCTGGACCCTTGGGATGTGTGGCAGGATGGGGCCTTGGAATCTCCATCCTGCCTCAGTTCTCCGTAAGCTCAAAGGTTGCCCAGAACCTTTGACTTAAAGGGGCAATGTTGCCTCTGGGTTAGAGCCTAGAGGTGCCGGCTGCGGTCAGAGGGAAAACGTGACATTTCTGGAGCATCTACCGGATGCAGGCCCATGATGGCTGCTTTATACCCGCCGTGAACTTGAATTTCTCCAACACACCCTGAGGCGCTGTCACACAGGGGGAGGCTGTGTGGCCTGTGCAGGTCGCTCCGCCCGAGGGTGCTGTGGGGGCTACAGGTCCTGGGTGGCTTCTTCCAAGGGTCTGTTGGCTGCGCCTCCCGGAGCTGAACCCCTCGCTCACATCCACTCAGCCAGATGTGTGTCCTGGGCACAGTCCTGTCCTGAGGTGGCCACGCCTCCTTGGCTCAGGGGGCAGGCCTGTCCTGGTCCATCATGGTATTTAATCTCGAAAGCTGGGCCATTTCCTAGGGCAGGCTCATCAGGGATTATTGTTACTTTTTGTAAATAAGGATATTGAAGCCCAGGAGATTAAGGGAATTGCCCATTGTTAGTGAGAGTTCTGTCTTCTGTGGCCCTTTTCGTTTATGCAATTAAATTTTTAAAAATGTTTTCTTTATTTATTGTTGCAAGTATTACAAATGTCCCCTTTGTTTGTTTGGCTTTTTTTCCCATTAACCACCCCCCCCTCCACCCTGCACCCACCCCTCCCTTCATCGCTCTATTGTCTGTGTCCATATATGCATATTAGTGCCCTGGGTAAGCGACCCTTTTTAAAAAAATCTTCACCAGAGGATATGTTTATTAGAGAGAGAGACAGGAGGGGGATGGGGGCATCTATCTGTTGCCTCCTATACCCACCCCGACTGTGGCATTTATGTACAGGAGGACACTGCAACCGACCAACCACCTGTGCCAGGCCTACAGCCCTTTCTGTGCCACCCCACTGCCCTCTTCAGGCTGGTGTGGGCTGGGCACATCTATACAGGTGTGCCACTGGCACTAAAAATGGGTACAAGTCCCATGAGATACAAATAAGTCATGACTTAGGCTGAACGTGGCATGAGTGCTCCTGAGCGCCTAACCCGCTTCCCTCTTCTGCCCTTGGGTTTCTCATGCCCTGCACACCCTGTGTCATGTCCACTCACCTGCCTGCCCACCCCCACAGCTGTGCCAACAGCACGGAGAGCAAGGAGGGCTGCACGCCGCTGCACCTGGCCTGCCGCAAGGGGGATGCGGAGATCCTGCTGGAGCTGGTGCAGTACTGCCACGCCCAGGTGGACGTCACCGACAACAACGGGGAGACCGCCTTCCACTACGCCGTGCAGGGGAACAACTCCCAGGTGCTGCAGGTGAGCAGCGGGGGCGGCCGGGCGCTGTGCCCTCGGCTGTCTCTGGGCCCTTGCACTCAGATGTCACTCCGGGCCTCTCCCGGGCCCTCTGTGGTCCTGAAAGCCCGAGCTCATCCACTCTTCCCTCCTTCGCTCTCGCCTCCTTGCTCTGACAATCTGGGGAAGTCCTCCAACCCGGCAAGTGGACTCCACTCGCAGTCCAGCCCGGGGCTTAGTTCAGCACCTCCCGAGCCTCCGGAGAGCCGGAGCCCTACGGGAGGCACCGAGGTCCTGGGGGACCCGAACGTAACTTTCGTTGTTAACTTTCGTTAACACCCGAGGATGTATTTTCCATTGATTTTTAAAGAGAGTGGAAGAGGGGGAGGGGGAGAGAAAGAAATATCCGTGTGAGAGAGAAACGTTAATTGGTTGCCTTCTGCGTGTGCCCTTACCGGGGCTGGGGATTGAGCCTGCAACGCAGGTACGTGCCCTTGCCGGGAGCTGAACCCAAGACCCTGCCCTGCTTAGGCTGCCTCTCTGACCACCGGGCATGCCCACTAAGGCCCGAGCTTAACTTTTTGCAGGAATTCAAAACAAACACAACGAAATTCCATCGGGCTCCTCCAGGCAGTTTGCGCCAGAGGCGTTCCCGTTGAATTTTCCATGAGCTGGGCAGAGAGATAAAAATAAAAATTCTGCGCGAGTAGATCCAGTGACGTAATTAGGAGGCTGCTTCAACTATAAGTCAGAAAAGGCACTTTTTTATTGCCTAGGATTTCCTGGGCACTTTTTTATTGCCTAGGATTGGGAGACTCTTCTGAAGATGATATCCTTGTTTCTGCCTTGGCGTCAGAATGGAACTACATTATTCCAGAACATGTGGGTCCATCCCTAATGACTAGTGCCCTCGGGGGAGGGAATTGCACACCTCTGTGGCATCCACCCTCACCAAGAACCGCTGTGTGCCCAGCACAGGGCCTCCCCTGTCCTGCCTCGGGACCGGGCAAGGCACTCTGACCAGCGATCAGGCGCAGCTGCACCTGTCCTTTATTTTATTTATTTATTTACTTAAAATATATTTTATTGATTTTGTACAGAGAGGAAGGGAGAGAGATAGCGAGTTAGAAACATCGACGAGAGCCGAAACCGGTGTGGCTCAGTGGATAGAGCCTCGGCCTGGGAACTGAAAAGTCCCGGGTTCGATTCCGGTCAAGGGCATGTACCTTGGTTGCGGGCACATTTCCAGTAGGGGGTGTGCAAGAGGCAGCTAATCGATGATTTTCTCTCATCGATGTTTCTAACTCTCTATCCCTCTCTCTTCCTCTCTGTAAAAAAAAATCAATGAAATATATTAAAAAAAAGAAAAAAGAAAAAAAGAAACATCGACGAGAGAGAGTCATCAATCAGCTGCCTCTTGCACACCCCCTACTGGAGATGTGCCCACAACCAAGGTACATGCCCTTGACCGGAATCGAACCCGGGACCCTTCAGTCCCCAAGCCGACGCTCTATCCACTGAGCCAAACCGGTCTCGGCTGCACCTGTCCTTTAGCGCGTGCTCGTCTGCCGCCTGCCCTGTGCTGGGTGTTGTGTGTGTTCTGCGAATTCTCAGAACACCCTCTGTGCGGGAGGGTCATGCCCTCCTCTCCCTGCTAAAGAAACAGACTCAGTGACTTTCATGTTTGCCCAGGGAGGGCCCCTGGGCTGTGAGTGGCGGGGCTGGCCCTCTAGTCGGGCCACCCTGCCACGTCCCCAGGCTGCTGGTATGCCCAGCTGGTCATCCGGGCACACAGGATCGTAATTATCCTCAGGGGACAGCATTCAGCCCAAGGAGGAAGTAAAAGCCTCCCCGTGAGCCTTTTAATACTGATATTTGTTTAAGTATATTTTTATTGGTATCAGAGAGGAAGCAGGAGGGAGGGAAACATCCATGATGAGAGAGAATCATGGATCGGCTGCCTCCTGCAGGCCCTCCACTGGGGATCGAGCCCACAACCCGGGCACATGCCCTTGACCAGAATCGAACTTAGGACCTTTCAGTTCTCAGGCCGACGCTATATCCACTGAGCCAAACTGGCTTGGGCCTGATATTTTTTAGAATTTGTTTTTATTGATTTCAGAGAGAAGGAAGAGGGGGAAAGAGAGAAAAACATCATTGATGAAAGAGAAACACTGATGGGCTGCTTCCTGCACACCGATCGCTCGGGCATGTGCCCCAACCAGGAATGGAACTGTGACCTCCTGGTCCATAGGTCAATGCTCAACCACTGAGCCACACCAGCCGGGCAACACTTTTTTTTTTTTTTATTGAAAAATATCCGCACACAGCCAAAAAAAAAAAATTCAAACAGGACAGGAAAAGCTAGAAACACTGCCCCTCCCTCCCAGACCCCAGTGCCCATCCCTAGATATGACCACGTTTTCAGTGTCTTTATTCGGAAGTTGGCATCCATGCCACAGGCATGCCAGGCCCACAGCCCAGGTTCAGTCAGCTCCCGTTCCCCTCCAAGGCCTCCCTCTCTGCTGCTTCTCTGCGTTCTTCGGCGTGTTCTCCCGCAGTCCAGCCGCCCTCGCCCTCGTCCCCGGGGGCAGCGGCGGGTGCTGGGGAAGGGCCGCAGGGGCTCCTCCCCCCCCCCCCGGGCTGCAGCCCACGCCACTCTGTGCCGGCAGCTCCTGGGGAAGAGTGCGTCGGCCGGCCTGAACCAGGTGAACAACCAGGGGCTCACCCCGCTGCACCTGGCCTGCCAGATGGGCAAGCCGGAGATGGTCCACGTGCTGCTGCTGTGCAACGCGCGCTGCAACGTCATGGGGCCCCGCGGCTACCCCATCCACACGGCCATGAAGTTCTCCCAGAAGGGGTAGGTTCTCCCTCCCCCCCCTCCCCCGCCCCCGCCTCACGGTGCTGGGCCTCACCTCCCTCCTGAGAGTCTGATGCCCAGGGCTGGCCTGGCACGAGCCAGTGTGCAGGGTGTGAATCTCAGCCCACAAACCCCACTGTGCAAAGAATGAAACATCGAACTGCCCTATAATGCACCCTAATGTCTGACCGTGGACCTCCCTTTGCCAAACTAGAGACCTTTTCTGGGGTCCCCTTTCCAGCTTCCCCAAGGGTGTTCCAGTGCTAGAGTCTCATGCAGCCCCAAGACTCGGAGGGGCCCACGGCCTGGGTCCTCATCCCCCCAAGCTGACCGGCCTGACCTGAACCCATCATGCTGCGGTGCTCACGGCTTCTGGGGCCGACTCAAGGCCCAGGCATGGCGGTCAGGCGGCCTAGGGCCCCTCTGCCTCGAAGCAGGCGTCCCTCCAGTGGATGGCATAGTGGTCAGGGTGGCCCAGGGCCCCTCTGCCTCGAAGCAGGTGTCCCTCCGGTGGATGGCACGGTGGTCAGGGCGGCCCAGGGCCCCTCTGCCTAGAAGCAGGCGTCCCTCCGGTGGATGGCATGGTGGCGTCACAGGTCCGGCCCGCGTCTCCGGGAGCTCTAGAACATTCTCATTTCTTCCCTCCTCCCAACCTGGGAACCCTGGGCTCAGGAAATTCTCCTCATGTGGGGGTTGTGTGTGTGGGGGGTGTATGTGTGGAGGGGTGAGGCGAGGCATGGATAAAAGAGATGACTATCTCAAAATATTCCCTAGCATGTACAGTACCTAGAATGAATGAATGCATGAATGAATGAATGAGTCGGTCAGTCCCTCAGGCCCAGGCGCCAAGCAGGACTGTGCCCTACAAAGGTGGGTAAGAGAACAGCCCGGGGACAGGGGACTGAAGTCACCAAGACCTCCCAGTGCTGAGTGCCAGGCAGGCAGCGGGAAAAGGGCGCACGGCAGGCCACGCTCACGCTGGGGGGGCAGTCAGTGCAGGAGACTACAGTGGGGGTTAGAGAAGGGGCGGGGAGGGGGGCTGTGTGCCAGGCGCAGAGCCAGGTGCTGAGGTATCCTGTCTCCTCTCACTCCTGCCCAGTCCTGTAAGAACAGCTTCCATGTGGTCTCCTTCCAGAGGCCACCAGTGAGGAAGCTGGGGCTTGTCCTAAAGCCAACACCCGTGAGAGTGATCATGGCTGATTGGAGTTATCAGGGAAGGCTTCCTGGAGGAAGGGGCTTAAACTGGGCCTGGAAGGGCTCATGATACCCTAGATACTCCATGGTACTCACGCTGGTTGGTTTTGTTGCGACTCTACTTGCAGAATCTCTCCCTAACCAGGCGATGAAGCCTCCATGACCTCTTCTGGCACCAGGCTTCCCCGGCCTTCCTCACTGTGCCAGGCTCCTCTCTCCCCAGGTGTGCTGAGATGATCATCAGCATGGATAGCAGCCAGGTCCACAGCAAAGACCCCCGCTATGGAGCCAGCCCCCTCCACTGGGCCAAGAAAGCAGAGGTAGGTGGCTCTGGGGGAGAGGGGGGTGGGGCAGCTTCCTGAGCCTGGTTCCTGCCGGGACCCTGAGGATGGCACTTGGGAGTTTGATCTCGCGGTGGGCGCCCAAGCAGAGAGGACCAAGGAGAGGTGAGTGCTCACTGGCACGGTGCCTATCCCCTCTGCGGCTTTCTCCTGTCGGCACTGGAGGTCCCATGTCCTGCCTCTGGAGGTGTGACCTCAGCAGGGTATCGTGGGAGAAAAATCCTTATAAATTGTCAAGTGCCTCATAAACAGAAGGTCGAGGTTGGTGGCATGGCTGCCGCTGGCTCCAGCGGCCTCTCCTCTGAGGCCTCTCCCCACGCCACGCTCCGTCCCCCTGGGAGGAGGGGTCTCTGGTCTCCTCTCCGGGAAGCACTGCTTGGCAGGGCCATGGCCGCCCTTGGCTGCGACGGGCCGGGAGGGAGGAGGGCCCCACTTCCAGGTCCTGTCTTCACGCCAGAGCTGGCCAGCAAGCCAGGGGCTCCCGTGTGTGTTTGTCATTCGTCGTTACCACACTCGGTGAGGTAGGGCCTTGCGTCTTACAACAAGGGAAAGCTGAGGTGCAGAGGGGCGCAGTGACCCGCCCAAGCTCGGATAACTGGGGTGAGCGGGGCTGCTCAAGCCTATTGGGCTTCAAAGTCCAGGCTCCTTGGGGTGCCCGACGAGCAGTGGTGTGTGTGGCCACGTCCCGAGGAGGGAGCCCACCTTTGCAGGGTCCCAGGGAGGGTGACAGAGTGGGGCTGTTCCCGGGCACAGGCCCTGTGAGCTCCAGGGAAGGACGTGGATGCCTCACAAAACAGTGGGCACATCTTCAGCTTTTCGGCCCCTAGTTCTTGGGGTGCTGATGGAGCCCCGGTCTGGAGCCAGCCCCAGAACTGAGGCCTGCCAGCCGGGCCCGTCTGTGGCTGCAGCTCTCCGGAGGCCCCACACCCGCAGGCCTCTGAGGGCGGGGCGGCAGTGCCCAGGTGCCGCCGGCCACAGCGGCTGACACGGGCGGATCCCGTCTCCCGCAGATGGCCCGCATGCTGCTGACACGAGGCTCCGACGTGAACAACACCAGCTCCGTGGGCAACACGCCTCTGCACGTGGCAGTGATGCGCAACCGCTTCGACTGCGCCATGGTGCTGCTGACCTACGGGGCCAACGCCAACGCCCGCGGGGAGCACGGCAACACGCCGCTGCACCTGGCCATGTCGGTGAGCCTGCGCCCGCGCCCCCGCGCCCGCGCCTCCCGGCCCGACGCCTGCTCTGCGGGGGGTGAGCTCTGGCTGTGGCTGTGCCTCTGTCAGCCCGGGGTCCGTCCCCCCCGCAGAGCTCTCGAGAGGAGTGAGTGGGAGCACTCGGTGGCTCTGAGGACGGTCTGAATGACACACGGGACCTGGCGCGGAGTGAGTCCTCAGGTGTCAGTCCTCCGTGGTTACTAGGGAGCCCTATCTGTCTGTGATTGGTTCTCTTTTTAAAATTTGTATTGATTTCAGAGCGGAGGGGAGAGAGAGAGAAGTATCAATGATGAGAGAACCACTGATCAGCTGCCTCCTGCACGCCTCACACTGGGGATGGAGGCTGCAGCCCCGGCCTGTGCTCTGGCTGGGAATCGAACCTGACTTCCTGGTTCATAGGTTGCCATGCTGAGCCCGCTGGCCAGCTGTGTATTGTTTTGTGTTTTGTTTGTCTGTTGTTTTTTTTGTTTGTTTTTTGTTTTGTGTGTGTGTGTGTGTGTGTGTTGTTCTTATATCCCGGGTGGACTCTTATAATAAGTTCCTGGGAGGCTGGGCCTGCTGCCACATCTGGGCGGCAGGCGGTCGGTGTGGGTCATGCCTGTTGGTTTCTTATAGAGCATAGTTCCTGCCCTACAGGCCGCGCAGTCTGGTTAGACGGCTACAGGATGAGCATATTGCACGAGGGGAGGGCATGTTACTGTGTTATAAACACATGTGTGTGGTGTGTGTGTAACTAGCAATACCACATGCACAGAAGTCTGTTTCTAAGTCTCGGAGTGAGAGACTGGGAAGCTGTAAAAGAAGTCGATTTAGGACAAATTCAAAGACATCCTGTTTTTTACCAGAGGTCATGATTATAGAGCAGCGTTGCTCAAGAGGCTGAGGTTATAAATAAAACCCTGGGCATTTTTATCCTGAATGGGCCCTTAGGATGATCCCGTTCAGCAGTTCTTGAACACGTTGGTCTCTTTGGTCCCTTTGTGCTCTTAAGAATAATTGAAGGCTGAAACCGGTTTGGCTCAGCGGTAGAGCGTCGGTCTGCGGACTGAAAGGTCCCAGGTTCGATTCCTATCAAGGGCATGTACGTTGGTTGTGGGCACATTCCCGGTAGGGGGTGTGCAAGAGGCAGCTGGTCGATGCTTCTGTCTCATTGACGTTTCTAGCCCTCTATCTCTCTCCCTTACTTGCTGTAAAAAATCAATAAAATATATATTAAAAAAAAAGAATAATTGAGGATCCCAAAGATGAGGGTTTATTTTTAATCCTCGCCCGAGGATATTTTTTTCCATTGATTTTTAGAGAGAGTGGAAGGGAGAGTGAGAGACAGAGAGAAACACTGATGTGAGAGAGACACATTGATTGGTTGCCTCCCGCATGTTCCTGACCAGAGCTGGGAGCTTGCAGTTGAGATACTTACCCTTGATTGGAATCAGACCCGGGACCCTTCAGGCTGCAGGCCAATGCTCCCTTCACTGAGCCAAACCAGCTAGGGCCCAAAGGTGTTTTTATATGAATTTTACCTGTGTATGATTACTATCTTAGAAGTTAAAAGTGAGAAAATTTCAAAATACTCATTAATTCATTCAAAAGTAACTATAATTTACCATCTCATACTAACATAAATGATATTTTTATGGGGAGGGGACCCACAAAATATAATTGACTGAAAGGAGATGGCGTGTTTTACATTTTTTAAAAATATATATTTTATTGATTTTTTACAGAGAGGAAGAGAGAGGAATAGAGACCTAGAAACATCGATGAGAGAAAAACATTGACCAGCTGCCTCCTGCGCACCCCCTACTGGGGATGTGCCCACAACTAAGGTACATGCCCTTGACCAGAATCGAACCAGGGAACTTTCAGTGGGCAGACTGACGCTCTATCCACTGAGCCAAACCGGTTTCGGCTGTTTTACATTTTTTGAATCTTTTTACTGCCTGGCCTCGGAGAAGACACGATTCTCGCCTCCTCTGCGATGCTCACCCTGTGGCGTGTGCTGGGACACGTTGAAGAACATGAAGAGAGCCTGGCCTTGCAGAGGCCTGTGGCTGGGAAGGACAGAGAACTGTGGATGCTCCCGACACGGTGCCACAGGGGCAGCTTCTGATAGGCGGGCTGCGGTGGGCCCTTGGCACTTCACACAGCAGGCCTGCTGCCCAGCTTATTTCTATGGGGGGAGCGCGCGTGCGGCAGGGAAGAGAGCCTCAACGACTCTGGGTTTGATGCCACTGCCTGGCTTAGTGCCCAGGCACCAGCACTTCACCCGCCATTGCTTTACACCATCGGTGCAAAGGCAGACATCCTGATATTTTTATGAGAACAGTCTTAACCTCCGCCTCCCAAACCTCCCGAAGAGCCTCCCGCATGCCCGGGCCCACAGACCTTACTCTGAGCACGGCTTCATGGCTTCCCGGGCTGCAGTCCCGGCAGCACCATCTTCACGTTTGGGGCCCGTTCGTGGACCTCTTTACAGTGATGGGCTTGATTATTTCTTCGAGTTGGTTTTCCAGTCCCGGAAAGCTATTTGGGAGGAAATGATGTATCACTGCCATCAGTGGGTAAGCCAGTGCCACAGCTAAAGGTAACCAGAAGAGAACTCCGTAACTCATGTCTAGAGCACGCATATTTACCTGTGCCCCCCGAGCCCTAATGGCACGTGAGCAGCTGTGGGGACAACTGCATCCTAGACACACCTACCTCTTCAATCTCTAGACCAGGAAATCGGCTCTGAGACGAGGGAGGTAAATAAGACCAGAGCTTTGGCCTGGCCCTGGGAAACCAAGCCATGCCCCAACGCCCAGTCTCCAGATGGTCACTGCACAGTGCCATGTGCAGCAGGCGGCACTGAAGGCTGCCATCAGGGAGGACACGTGCTTGAGTGCCCCCTCGGGACTAGCATTCTGGCCCAGACCAGCAGGACAGCCTTCCCGTTCCTTGCTCACCCTCTCCTCCTCCTGAAAGCGCTCAGTAGCTAACCCTTCAGTGTCCCCATGGCTCCTGGCTTGGGCGTCACAGATGCATTGCTTCCTGAGAGAAGGAGCGGTGCAGCTGGGGGCCAGTGAGGCACTTGCAGGTTCTGCCTGGGTTTTGATGCCTTTACCTGGGGATGCTAAGCCTGCTGTCAGGGCACCAGCCTCCAGATCGTAGACTTTGGAGTTCCAGGTCAGTGGGGCAGGAGATCAAAGGTCCCAGTGTTGCCCTGGCCAGTTTCCTCAGCGGTTAGAGCATCAACCCAGAGGGACACGGGTTTGATTCCTGGTCAAGGGTATATACCCCGGTTGCTGGCTTGATTCCCGGCCCAAGTCAGGGCATGTGTGGGAGCAACCTATCAATGTGTCTCTCTCCAATTGATTTTTTTTCCCCCTCTCCCTCTCTAAAAGTCAATGGGAAAATACCACTGGGCGAGGATTTAAAGACAAAGGGTCCAGGGTCCCTCCCGTGCCGAGGAGAGGCTCTGAATTGGGCAGCGTGGGAGAGGCTGGGCTCCTTTTTTTTTGTTTGTTTCCTTGAGCTGTTGGCTCTTTCCTCCAACAGAGGGGCAACGTGGAGATGATCAAGGCCCTCATTGTGTTTGGGGCAGAGGTGGACGCCCCAAACGACTCTGGGGAGACTCCTACCAACATAGCCTCCAAGATCGGCAAAGGTGCGTGCTCACCACCGGTCCAGCTTTGGGCAGGCGTGGGTGCGGGCGGGGAGGAGGGAGGCCCAGCTCGGGCCCGGCATCCTGCGGGTCCCACCCTGTTGCTCCTGTGCAGGGTTTCTAGAAGGACCTGGGAGGCTTCCGTTTCCCAAGAACTGGGGCCCCCACCAGTAGGTGGAGCCCACAGGAGGCCTGCCAAGCCAGTGTCTACACCCCCCCGCCCCGCCGTGCAGCCCCATCCCACCTCAGGGTGCCAGGGCTCAGAGGGTGGGACAGGCAGTGGCAGTCCTCTTCCTCAGTCTTTGAAAATTCCCTGATGGAACCACTACACATGTGCATGTGTGTCCTGTGCTCAGGCAGCCTGCATGCATTACACTACACAAGTGTGTGCATGTCCCGTGCTCAGGCAGCCTGCATGCATTACACTACACAAGTGTGTGCATGTCCCATGCTCAGGCAGCCTGCACGCATTACACTACACAAGTGTGTGCATGTCCCGTGCTCAGGCAGCCTGCATGCACTGCATGCTCGCTTGGTGAGCCTTGGCTTCAGGGCTGGAAAAAGCAGGTGCTCCTCACCAGCAGCCTGGAGCCCCCTCTGGAGGTGTCCGGGGGCTGTGGAGGTTGCCGTGGGTGTGTACCCACCAGTGTGTATGCATGTGAGTACGCATGTGCGCGCGCTGCCTCTTGTGGCATCCTTTCCAGTCATCCCATGCGTGAGATGGGCGCAGATGCCCGCTGGCTGGCTGGCCAGTCCCTTCGAGCTCTGAAGGACCCTGCACTCAGCAGCTTTGAGAATTGCTGGATATGGAGGTGGGAGTTCTGCTGTCTTGGCTGGAGTCGAAGGGACTGGCCTGCTCCTGCCATTTCCCACAGTCCACCCTGCACCTTCCCGGCCTCCGGAAGCTGCTTGGGATGTCACGGACTAGAGTCCCCATCCCTGCCGGGGTGGGGTCGGCTCCCACGTACCCAGGCCTGGTAGGCGGGAGCGGGAGGGGCCGTGCGTGGAAGGGAGGGCTCTCACCTGCATGATGACATCATTTCTGATCCAGTGCGATCCCCCCTCCCCACACTGTCCCCAGCTGGCACCAGGAAGACAGTCTTAACTCTGCTGAGAATCATAGGGGCCGGCCACCACTTCCCAGGGGCCCCCAAGGAGCTGGGCTCCTCAGCAGCACAGCATTCCTCCAGCGGGGAAAGATCTCAGCCCCCACCGATCAGCTTAAACAACCTAGGTAGGCCCCCCCCACCCCGCCCCACTATGCTCCCTCCTCGGCTGGTTCCCAGGCTCTCAGGTCAGAAGGGCCCCCGCATAGAAGCCGGCCGCTCACAGAGCCGAGGCCACGGGCCCCTGGCTAACGTGCCACGGCCCGTGTTTCCTGCAGGGATGCCCTGGACACGGGTCTCGGTCTGGGCATGCCTGGCACCCATGAGGGGGGTGCTTTCATGGCCTCTGTGTCCCCCGGGAGCGCAGGGTGGAGTGAGGAGTTGTGTTTGGGGTCCAGAGCCCTGACCCTTGGGCTTCAATAAGGAATGTTCCTGCTGCGCAGGGAGTCGCTGTGGGGCCTGAGGCCTGGGTGTCCCCCGCTGGCCCTTTCATGACCCAACCAGCTTCCCCCCTGGGCCTCCCTGGTGCCTGTGGAGATAGCCCCAGGGCCCTAGATGGTTTGGGAAGGAGTCCCCTGAACAGGGCCATCAGAAACCCATCCTTGGTGAGCTGGACTTTATTTTTTATTTTTTATTTTATTTTATTTTATTATTATTATTTTTTTCTGTTGGGGAAGCAACTCCAGCCAGGAGAGCCCAGCCAAGCCTGGAGTTCAGTCAGTCCTCTGGTCTACTCTCCCCTCCCCCTGTCTACCCCCCTCCAGAACCTGCCCCCCCACCTCCATCTCTCAATTCACAGGCAGGCAGTCACCCACGCCAGGCTGGATGGTGGGCCTGGGCGCGGCGGCAGATGGGTAATGCCCTGGCCTAGCGCGCCTTGCCCCGAGTTAGCTGTAGCCGAGTTCCCTCTTCTCATTTGCATGCCGACACGTGCACCTGCTGCCCTCCCTGCCTGGCCCTCCGTCCACCGCTCTCCTGGACAGCCTCCCGCTCATCTTGCCCACTCTGGCCGCCTGCTGGCTGCTTCCTGCTTTGCTGCTTCTAGACTCCATGGTCAGCAGCATAGAGAGCCCGGATGACCTGACACTGCTGGGCCAGGCTCCTGGCGCCCAGCTGCTGGTCAGGAGGGCAGCTCAAGCACGGGGTGGGCACGGGGGACACAAGGACTGAGGGGACGGGCGCATCCAAGTGGAGAGGCCGCTGAGGAAGTTTTCAGAGGAATCAGCGGGAAGAGGGGTTCGGGTCTCTCCCGCCATGCATGGAGTTAAATCCCAGGGAATGCCCTTTTGGCTCAGTGACCGTGGACGGGTCCCGTAGCCTGGGAGCCTCGTCTGCGAGTTGGGGTGACAGCTCTGGTGATGGTGGGTGTCAGCAGCACAGTCAGGTGTGTGAGGAAGCAGGCTGCGGGCTGGAAGCACAGGACACATCCGGGCGCCTGTGCCTCGCAGCCCTGAGGGGAAGACACGGAGCAGCAACCGGCCCGGCACGTCGGGGGCTCTCAGGGGCCTGCGGGCTTTGGCTGAGCTGCTTCCTGTGACCAAGAGCCCTTCCCAGGGCAGCAGGCAGATGCTCCTGCTAGGGATGGTGGGGTAAGGGCTGGCACCCGTGCTCCTGGACCTTTTGGTGGGGGGGAGGGCTGGCACCTGCCCAGCTTCTGCCCACCAGCCCTCTGCCCTGCAGAGCTGCAGGACCTGGTGCACATCTCCCGGGCCCGGAAGCCCACCTTCATCCTGAGCTCCATGCGGGACGAGAAGCGGACGTGAGTGAGGAGGGAAAGGGGGGCACGTGTGCGCTTGGGGCTTGTGTCCAGTCTGCCCGAGGTCCTGAGGCAGCTCGGTCCTCTAGCACAGCGAGGAGGCTGAGTGTTTAGAGAGCCTGGGTCGGCTCCTTCGCCAGTGGCTGTGCAGGCTCTGGGTCACGTGATGCAGTGGCTGCAGTCCTATCCCTTCCTCGAGACCCGTCACCGATGTGGGGGCCGGTGCAGGTCCTCTCTGCAGACCAGGGCCTGCTTCCCTCAGATTCCACTCACTCCTTACCTGCCTCCTGAGCACCTGCTCTGCACCCAGACCCACTGCACAAGGCGGGCCTAGGTGATGGGCACCAAGAGCAGAAGCCCTGCCATGCCCTGGATACAGTGCCTAGAGCCCAGAATCAGTGCCCAGCAGCACATCAGGTCAGCAGGATGACATGGTTCCCAGTGGCTGCTCTCTCCCTCAGTAATAGAGAGGTTTATTCTCTACTAGAGGCTCAGTGCAGGAAATTCGTGCTCTGGGGGTGGGGGTCCCTCAGCCCGGCCTGTGCCCTCTCACAGTCTGGGAGCCCCGTGATCAACTGCCCCGCAGAGGGAGGCCCCATCCCCCACCGCAGCACTGCCGGCCAGGATGCCTGGGCCTCCCTCTCTGGGGCGATCATCACGGGGCTCTACAATGGATCACCCCAAAGAGAGAGCCCGGCCCACCCAGCCAGGGCTCTGTGATGGATCGCCCCTGCAGAGGGCGGCCCAGGCTACCTGCTGCAGCCCGCTAATCAGTGGCCTGGGTCTCCCTCTGCAGGGCGATCATGGGGTGAAGGCTGGGCCCCTGACCAATCACATCGCACCCGCCTTGCTGGCCTGATGACAGTGGGTGTCATAGCGTGGTAGTCCAGACGGTCGTTCCGCTGTTTGGCCATTTGGTCATTTGCGCATTACACTTTTATTATTATAGATTATTGTCCATGTTCCTGTTCCAGCAGCCTCCTAGGGACCAGCAGCATCCCTTGACCTCTCGTGTACCTGAGCTCCATTCCTTCATTCCTCCATTCCTTCATTCCTCCATTCCTTCATTCCTTCAGTCCTGCACAGGGCCGCAGGAGTGCCCCCCTGGAAAGGGATGGGGCATTTACGTGAGCTCGTGCTGGCAAAGCCCCTCCCAGGTCCTGGCACACACAGCCCTTTCTCCCCCCTCCTCCCCTGCCGCTCCCACCTGGGCAGAGCGCCCTGGCCTTCCTCTGCCACCCGTTCCTGCCCAGCCCTCCCCCAGCCCCGTTTAAGTCACAGGCTTGAGTCAGGCAGCTGGGAGTGGGCACCCGGCCTGACAAAACCAGGCGCTGTCCTCACGGAGCTCCTGTTCGGAGTGGACAGACCCAGGTGCCCCGGCTGCCCCTTACCCTGTTTTCCTCTGTGTACTTTTCACCTCCTGAAACACATATTCCTTTTCTGACACACACACACACACACACCCCGAAAGCTTCAGACGCCCCGAGCGTGGCCCTGCTTATCTCACGTGCCCATCCTGTGGTCATCGGCGCCTGGCTCACGGCTTGAGCGCGGGAGGTAACGTGCTGGCGGTGATGAGCCTCTTCTCCCCCCGCAGCCACGACAACCTGCTGTGCCTGGACGGAGGGGGCGTGAAAGGCCTGGTCATCATCCAGCTCCTCATCGCCATCGAGAAGGCCTCGGGCGTCGCCACTAAGGACCTCTTTGACTGGGTGGCGGGGACCAGCACCGGCGGCATCCTGGCCCTGGCCATTCTGCACAGTGAGACTCCCTCAGGGCGGGCCCGGCGGGCCGGGCTCCGGGCCTGCAAACGCTGGCCGGCCTCGTCTTGACTGCTATCTCCTTTGGGGGGCTCTCCGGGCTGTGGGGAGCCTCTCAGAGCAGCACCCCCTCTCCAGGCAGGCAGTGCCCTCGACCTCGGCCTCCCTGACTGTGACCTGGTCCAGTCGGAGCCCGTACTCTCCAGATTTGAGGGCACCAGGGGAGGACCCTTCTGCACCCGGGCATCAGGGCCAGGCCTGAGCGAGGTGCTAGGGACCCAGGCCCTAGTCAGACACACCGGGGAGCCTCAGTCTGATGGGTGTTCACCAAGGGAGGAGGCCACAGCCAGGCAGCCACGGTGTGAGGGACCTGGGCCAGGAGGGGCCGGGAGCAGCAACCTGGGCTCTGGGAGGAGGGTCCTCAGCTGGTGCATTGTCAGGTTTTGGCATCCCAGCAGTTTACTGCCCGGTACTTCACATCGTGTTTATGATGGTCACCGTAGCCTCCTGAGGTTACAACGGGGGAAACTGAGGACCAGAGAGGGCCAGGCCGGGTCTCCATCTGTGCGCCCCGCCCGCTGGCTCCTGGCTCCAGGTCCCACGTCCCTCTCTGGTCTTCAGTCCCTGCCTCTCCCCCAGAGGAGCCTCTCAGGGCCCACCTCCACCGGGGACATCAGTGGGGGGAGAAAGCCCAGCCTCTCCCCCAGGCAGAGTCCCTTCCCCCTTAGAGGACCCGGGCCCGTCCAGGGTCTTCAGACTCCTGGGGGCTGCGGAGGGGTCTGGGACAGGCAGAACCCCCTCCACAGCCTCTGCTTGCCCACCCGGCCGGTGAGGCACGTGGGCACCTCACCTCACCTCCTGTGAGGTGCAGCCTGCCCTTGACCTGTCGTTGGAGGCTCTGAGAACAGGGCTGGTTCTTATTTCCCACGACACACAAAGTAGATTCGATTTAAAAGCTCATTTTCAGGGGAAATAATGCACAATTGTGAATAGGAAGTCAAGTCCAGGGCCTTGTACTGCTGAAGGGGACCTCTGCCTGGGAGGGGAGGGGCAGAGGGGCCGGAGCCCGGCATGGCCGGGGGCCCAGGCGGAGCTGCCCTCACCCTCGGCTGCCGCACCGCTGGCTTCCCCAGCGGCCCGCGCTCAGGCTGCCTCCCCTCCGGCCCGTTTGCTCTAGGCAAGTCCATGGTCTACATGCGTGGCGTGTACTTCCGCATGAAGGACGAGGTGTTCCGGGGCTCCCGGCCCTACGAGTCGGGGCCCCTGGAGGAGTTCCTGAAGCGGGAGTTCGGCGAGCACACCAAGATGACGGACATCAGGAAGCCCAAGTGAGCTTGCGCAGCGGCCTGGGCTGTGGCCGGCTGTGCTGGGGCAGAGGCTCCTGCCCTGGTCTGATTGGGGAGCGGGGGGGGGGGGGGGGGGGGAGGGCAGCTTCATCCCATGGAAATGAGGGGCTCTGCGTGTCTTAGGCTCAGAGGGCTCGATGCCCCTCAGCACACAGCCAGGACTTCTTTGCTGAGCACAGCTCTGCCCCAGGCTGGAGGGCGGGGGGTAGGAGGCAGAGAGGTAATGGATGCAGCTACAGGTGGGAAGGCTCACCTCTGGTGGGAGACAGGTGAGCTGAGAAAACAGCAGCCATGTGCAGGGGATTCCAGAAGAGCCTTGCAGCACCACTGCTTCCTATTCTCCCCGCCCCAGAGCAGCTTAAAAACTGCTGCTGTGCCTGGTGTTATAAGTATCCAAATGGTCCGTGGCAGGAAAAGGCTCCCCACCCCTGATGTAGGCCACTCTGACTAAACTCTGGACGTGAGGACTTGAGGCCTCCCCCGGGCGAGGCGCCCTCACAGATCTGAAGGCCTCGCTTCTGCTCACCCCTTTCCGGGATCTTTCTCTCCCTCCTTTGCCTGCAGGCATGGGGGCGGGGCAGGTTTACTTCTGTTTGCCTTTGGGGTCCCACACTAATATAGGGAGGGTCTCTCCTTAGACCCTCACCTTTGGTGGGTCCTGTCCCTCTGGCCCCAGGGGGCCCTCAGCCCTGCAGTGTAAGTGGACGGAGTTTGGTACCTGCTGCCAGGTCGACGCTGGGCCTGCCGCTCACTTACCTCTCTGGGGTCTTGCTCTTCCTCGGGACACACCCTGGCATTCCCTTTCGGTCTTGTCGGGTCTGTGCTTTTAAGTAGATTTTTTTAAAAAGAAATCTTTCCCAGCTTTTAATTTCTTTTCCAGTGGAAAGATGTTCAAATCACCTTCCGCCGTATTCCCAGAAATGGAAGACTAGCATTTCTTCCTGGGCAGTGTTTGTTCCCTCCCTTTACATCTGGCTTTACAATATATGGCAGATGCGTTCCTGGGTGACTCTGACCCGCTCCAAGTGTAACTCTGAGTGTCCGAAACAGCACTGCTGTTTCTCCCGCGGCTGCTGTTTCCAGGGACCCACTTTTCACCATATGCGTTGCCCTGAGACCACAGGTGTTCAGGGAAGCTGGGACCGGAGGATTCCTTTGGGCGGATTTCCTAGCGTGGCGTCCAGGCCAGAGCCAGGGCACTGAGAGAGTCCCAGGGGCTGTGCCGGTCTGCACTCCCCCGTATGTAAGGGTGCCCGGTCTCTCAGACGAGTAGGAATCTTCTTTAGCAGACTCGCATAGCAGATAGGACACTGACGGGGACCTCGGGGGACACGGGGAGGTGACCACAGTCTCCTGAGCTGCGCCCCCTGTTCCCAGTGCCGCTCACGGCCCTTCAGTTACCCTCCCACCAAGCAAATAGGTACATGGGTTTTTGGGGGGATTTGCCATGAGGTAAATGGTGTAAGACCCGCAGTCCCGAGCCTGGTTCTTACCCTGGGCCACAGATCTCGGCGCTCAGTGCCCATCAGCTCCGAGAGCTGCTCGGTCCCTCCGCAGCGACACAGGCCCACTGGGTGGGGAACACGGGCAGGTCCACTGTTGCCAGTCGGTGCTTGAACAAACGCTGCCGCCGTCAGCAGCCCCGGGCGCCCACCTCCACGCATGCGAGAGACATGACGCGCTCCCAGGAGTGGGTTGACGCGGGTTGGGGGGGAGGGGCGGGGAATGGGAGGCAGTTAGTGACTTAGCCATCCCGTTCCTGTTCCCGCCCCTGCTTCTCCCCAGGGTGATGCTGACGGGGACGCTGTCGGATCGGCAGCCGGCCGAGCTCCACCTCTTCCGCAACTACGAGGCCCCGGAGTGCGTGCGGGAGCCTCGCTGCGGCCAGAACGTCAGCCTCAAGCCTCCGACTCAGCCCGCGGGTGAGAGCCTCGCTGGCCCATCTGTGGGAGCGGCTGACCTGCGAGGCGTGGGGCGCGGGTGGGAGGCGTGGGCTTGTCACTGGGCACCCCTCGCCCGCCCCCTCCCATCGCTGCCCTGAGGCTTTAGTGCTGAGGACAGACCGAGTGGGGAGCTGCCAGGCCTCGGGCAGCTAGTGGGGGCCCCGGAGGCCCTCAGCTGCACCCCACCTTCCTCAGGGGAGGAGGGGCAGACAGCATGCCACACACATGCACACGTATACACAGGTATGCACACATGCACAGACACACACATACACATGTACGCACACACGCACACATACACACATGTGCGCACACACGCATCCTGAGATCTGAAGAGCTGGGCCGCCCTCCTCCCCACCTCAGAGCAGCTGGTGTGGCGGGCAGCCCGGAGCAGCGGGGCCGCCCCCACCTACTTCCGGCCGAGCGGGCGCTACCTGGATGGCGGGCTGCTGGCCAACAACCCCACGCTGGACGCCATGACCGAGATCCATGAGTACAACCAGGACATGATCCGCAAGGTGAGAGCCACCTCAGGTCAGCAAGCCGCCCGCCCCCGCCCCGCTCAGCAGACCTGGGGTCACCCGTGCGGTCACTGCCTGCGCTCTCAGCGGCAGCTTTGTCTCATGCACCTGCGTGGCCCGTGTGTCTGCCCGAAGCTCTGTGCCCAGAGCGGTTCCGAGCTCAGTCCAGACCGGTGGGGCAGCGGCCTCTGGGCTTGGGTCCTGCCTCTGTCCTCCCCTTCAGCCACTCCCTGTGCTCCGCCCTGTAAGGCATTCAGGACAGCGCCTGACCCGCGTGCGCACGGCCTGCTGGCTGTGGTCAGCATGCGGTCAACGCTAAGCTCTCATGCTCCCTGGGTGGCGAGCCAGGGCTCTGCCTCAGAGGGGGAGCGCCCTCTAGGGGCCAGGCCTGGCAAGGCAGGCCTCCTGGTGGGAGGAGGCTGTGGGTGAGGAAGGTCCTGGTCCTGTGACTTCCTCCCTCTAAGCCGCTCCTTGTGGAGTGACTGCTGCCGAGCAAAGGAGGCAGCCCAGGCTGTGCCCCTCCCCAGGCACCGCGCCTCCTCTGCCCCCCCAGAGCCCCCTCCGGCCTCACTCCGCGCGAAAGGTCCGCCGGGGGAAGGTCTCCTCTGCCGACCCCGTCCTGTCCCCGCCAGGGCCAGGGCAACAAGGTGAAGAAGCTCTCCATCGTCGTCTCCCTGGGGACAGGGAAGTCCCCGCAGGTGCCCGTGACCTGTGTGGACGTCTTCCGTCCCAGCAACCCCTGGGAACTGGCGAAAACCGTGTTTGGGGCCAAGGAACTGGGCAAAATGGTGGTGGACTGTGTGAGTATGGGCCCCCTCCCCAGGCCCCCCTTCCAGGTCTCAGCCCCAGGACGGTGCCCTCACCGCTCCTGTGGTACCCGCGCGCCAGGGGCTCTGCGGACCCTCATTAGCCAGCTCAGGGAGGGGTCCCAGTTCCGTCTCGGTGCCAGAGGGGACCCTGTGACCCCTGAGCAGGGGTTCAGCGTCTGTTAGCTGCGGTGCCTCCCTTCGCAGCCCGCAGGGTGTCTGATGGCAAAGGCTGCAGGGGTGGGGCGTGGAGACTGTCCATTCAGCCCGCCCACCCGTCACACTGGCTGACCTCAGTGGTGCTGCTGAGCCACCGTGAAAGCCCCAGACCTGCCCCTTCGATCGCCCAGCGGGGGCAGTCACTGCTGCCCAGGGGAGAGACTTGCCCAGGTCCCGCTGCGGATGGGTGGCTGAGTCAGATATGGGGTTCAAGCAGGGGCCGGAGGGGGGGGGGGCGGGTGCTCATGGGGCTCCTTCTCCCCAGTGCACGGATCCGGACGGGCGGGCCGTGGACCGGGCCCGGGCCTGGTGCGAGATGGTGGGCATCCAGTACTTCAGGTGAGGGCGGCCCTCGGCCCCAGCCGCTCCCTGGCCTGGCCAGACGTGGGGCCCTCCGCACTCCTGCCCTCGGCAGGGACATTTCTTCCCCCGCCCAGGCCAAGAGTCCTGGGGTGACCCTCCTCCTTGACTTGGGCAGATTGAACCCCCAGCTGGGGACAGACATCATGCTGGACGAGGTGAGCGACATGGTGCTGGTCAACGCCCTCTGGGAGACGGAGGTGTACATTCACGAGCACCAGGAGCAGTTCCAGAAGCTCATCCAGCTGCTGCTGTCCTCCTAGCCCGCCGCCACCGCTCCACCTCCGCCCAGACACTAAGGGCGCCCTCGTTTGCCCAGCCCTGGCCGTCCCGTCCTCCTCCTGTGCAGCCGCCCGTCTGCCTTCTGCCCTCTCCCCTGGGGGTGGGGCTAGAGAAGCTACTGACACTGACCACCACCCACCCCGTCAGCAGGGGGAGCCCACACTCAGGAGAGGGGCGCCCCATTCAACTTTGCACCTCGTACCCTCCCAGCCACCTGCACCTCGGTGCCCCACCTGTGGTTCCCAACGGTTGCTCCCAGACTTGTGATTCTTCTGGCAGACAGTGATTTACGAGGGGGCGGGGCGCCCCAAACTGTGAAATAAACGGTTTGATTCCGGTCGCCCTGTGTTGCGTGCACTGTGGTGTGAGTCCCCCCACCCACAGCTCCCCGCAGCCGTGCCCTTCTGCCCGACCCTCGGCTTCCTGTGCCCACTCACATGGCTGCTGTTTCCCGGCTCCCTGTGGGGAAGACCTTTCCTCCAGGCCTCCCCCAGTGCGGCGGGGGGAAGGGGGAGTGTTCTGAGGTGCCCCCAGGCAGGCAAGAGGGAGACCCATTTTCCGGGAGCGGATGAGGTCCAGGGGGGGCGGGGGCTCAGTGTCACGCAGTGAGCGAGCAGGGCCCGGTCTGCCCCGGTCTGCGGACACTGGAGCGGAGCGGACCCCTCTCCAGCACACAGGCTAGACGGCAGAGGGGCGTGGGCCGGTGCTCGAGGTGCAGGTCTGAGGGGCTCGGGGGAGAGCAGGAGGCTGACAACAGTGACCCCCACTGGGGGTTCAGCCTCCAGGGGGCTGTCGGGGAGGATCCTGGGGGAGGGCGACCAGCAGTCCAGCCCCTCGGTAGGCAGGTTCCTCCCAGAGCCAGGGGTCCCGGCTGGCCCGGCCGGCCTGGGCCTGGAGGTGGCGGTGACCTCAGAGAGGCTCATCACACAGCCCCCGGCCGCCGCTCGGGGGGTAAATAATTGAAGGGCAGGTCACACGAGCCCGCCCGCGTCACAGGATGCCTCTCCCGGGTCTGGTTACGCCCCAGATCGCATGCTGACATCCCGGCTGGTGAATAATTAAGCTGCCGCCTCCTCCTGGCCGGCCCTCCATCTCCAGTCCCACTCTAGCTTCCTCCACGGCCGCTGAGCAGCGGGCCCCGGACAGACGGACAGACGGTCCCGATCCGGTGCTCCCCGCCCTGCACGCTCCAGCCTGCTGCTCAGCCCGGGTGCGGCTGCCCCATGGCCCCCGAGATGGACCAGTTCTACAGGTCCACCATGGCCATCTACAAGGTGAGTGCGCCGCGCCCAGGCTCGCACGGCCCAGGGCGCAAAGCCGGGCCCGCTTGGAGGACAGGCTCAGCGTGGCCACCGTGTGTACTGACGGGAGGCGTGGGGCGGGCCGGGCTCAGCTGTGGGCCTGGGGCTGGGGGAGTCTCGGGAGGCAGTCAGTCACCCCAGCTCCAACCCGAGGTTCCCGGGCAGGGGTTGTCCACAGTCACCCAGTGAGTGCCGGGCCTGCTGAGCCGCTCTCCGCAGGAGCCTCCGCCTCCCGGATGCTGGGTGAGGCCGGACAGGGCCCGGCTGCAGCTGGGAGCAGGGCCCCTGCGAGTGGGGAGTCTCTCGGTCTCTCTGTGTCTCTCGTTGCTAATTTCCTCTCTCAGACTTGCTGCTGCACCGCAGAGGGGGTGCTGCAGGTTCCAGACGGTTAGGGAGCCCCTGTGCGGGCAGGCCTCACAGCACCTACCGCAGGGTCAAACCCGATCCCCATTTGGCAGATGAGAACTCTGAGGCCAGAGAGGTTAATGAGCTTGTTCAAGGTCACCAGGGGAGGGGAGGGGCTGCAGGGATTTGAAACAAGACCCGAGGCCCAGTCCAGATCATCTCCACCACGTGCGTGGGGTGGCCTTGCTCCCAGAAGGTTCTTCTTTGGGGCAAGATCCACCCCTGCCTCCGAGGTGCCCGTGGGCAGCCCGTGTATGCAGTCCTGTGAGGCCTGGCCTCAGACCCGGGCTTACTGGGCCCAGCTGGGGACTGGCAGACTGGCAGGCTTCCACCAGTGCGGGCTCAGGCCCCTCAGGCTAGGGGTGTGAGCAGGAGCTGGCCAGGGGGCCTGGTCTTGGACAGAGATGGCCTCTGAGGCCCGTGCAGGATTCTGGGTGGCCCCAGGTTTCTAGGCTGGCTCCCCCAGATTCTGGAGGCTTCTCATGGGCTAGGGGTGCCCTGCGTTGCCTCTGCCCATCATTCCTGCTTCCTCTCAGAGCATCCTGGAGCAGTTCAACCCCGCCCTGGAGAACCTGGTATACCTGGGGAACAACTACCTGCGGGCCTTCCACGGTGAGTGCCCCACAGCCTCCTCCCCGCACAGACCCCACCCGCCCAGATTCTCCACACCACAACCCACCCCGCCCAGATTCTCCGCACCAGACCCCACCCGCCCAGATTCTCCACACCACACCCCACCATACGCCCAGATTCTCCGCACCACACAGGGCAGCCAGTGCTTCCGACAGAGGGTCCCGAGCCTCCTATAGAGTGGACAGGCCGGGGGCACACCGGAGCCAAGCACCCACAGCCCCGCCCTTCCTTTCCGTTCTTCAGAGTCAAAGTCTGTCCCCCACACCACACCCTGAGCCTGTCCCCATCCCTGTGCCCCCCCTCCTATGTGCACACACAGATGCCGCCCCTCACCCAAGAGAGACCACACCAGAGTCCCGAACAGCGCCAGGCCCATCCCACGCTGCCCCCTCATCCTGGCCTGTGCCATTTCACACATGCCACCAGAGCCCACCTCCCTCTCTCATGCACCCACCCAGGCCCCACAGTGTCCCCTGCACACTCTCTGGTGGAAGCAGGGGTCCCGGAGGGTGGGGCGGCCGGAAGAGGGCCTAGGGCCTTACCCCTCTCTCCTGCGCAGCCCTGTCGGAGGCGGCCGAGGTGTACTTCAGTGCCATCCAGAAGATCGGGGAGCAGGCCCTGCAGAGCGCCACCTCGCAGATCCTGGGTAAGGGGCTCCCCTCGCACTGAGCTCCCCACACGTTTTGGGGCCTCCGGGCTCCCCCGAGCCCCTTTTCTCCCCCGCCTCCTCCACTGTCCAGGCTCCAGGCACTGCCCCGGGCTCTGCTGGCCCCCATTCTCCATCAGGAGGGGATTCCTCTTCCAGGCTGGCCTTTCCAGGAAGGCCCCCCCAGACACAGGTCCGCAGCCAGAGCAGAGCCCGCCTCTCCTGGGCCGGCTCCTCCCTCCCTGCAGGGCTGGCAGAGCTGGGACAGGCCTGCGAGGCCAGAGCAGCGGGGAAACCCAGGACTTTGGTCCCAGCCCAGCCTCAGGGAGGCCTTGGGCCTGCTGGGAGGTGGCGGGGCGGGGTCCTCCTGAGCCGCTGTTCTTGGCGCTCCTAGGTGAGATCCTGGTGCAGATGGCAGACACCCAGCGCCACCTGAACTCTGACCTGGAGGTGGTGGTGAGTACGGGCCGGGTCACCCTCCACACCCCGGGGAGGGCTCCTGAGACCCCGGACGCCGCACGCCGGGCGCACGTGTCTGCAGCAGCTGGTTCTGGCCGCAGCCACCAGGAACCGGTCTGTCTCCACTCCGCAGAGCAGGAAACTGAGTCTCAGAGACGCAGCCACTCTCCCAGGTTCCAGCGTGGGAGAAGGAGCCAGGGGGTCGCCCCATGCCACCCCCTCCTGCCCTCCCGTTTCTCCCTTGTCCCGCTCCTAAAAGCCCTCCAAACCCTCCACCCACCAACTGACCCAGGCTTTTCAGGGAGGACGTGCAGGCCCTGCTGCACCCCAGACACAGCCCAGCACCCCAAAGTGCTGCATCCAGTCACAGCCCAGCACCCCAAAGTGCTGCATCCAGTCACAGCCCAGCACCCCAAAGTGCTGCACCCCAGACACAGCCCAGCACCCTGAAGTGCTGCATCCAGTCACAGCCCAGCACCCTAAAGTGCTGCACCCAGTCACAGCCCAGCACCCCGAAGCGCTGCACCCAGTCACAGCCCAGACCCCGAAGTGCTGCATCCAGTCACAGCCCAGCACCCCAAAGTACTGCACCCAATCACAGCCTAGCACCCCAAAGTGCTACACCCAGTCACAGCCCACACCCAGTCACAGCCCAGCACCCCGAAGTGCTACACCAGGTCACAGCCCAGCATCCCGAAGTGCTGCACCCAGTCACAGCCCAGCACCCCGAAGTTCTGCACCCAGACACAGCCCAGCACCCCGAAGTGCTGCACCCAGTCACAGCTCAGCACCCCAAAGTGCTGCACCCAGTCACAGCCCAGCACACCGAAGTGCTGCACCCCAGACACAGCCCAGCACCCCAAAGTGCTACACCCAGTCACAGCCCAGCACCCCGAAGTGCTGCACCCAGTCACAGGCTATCCTTCCCCTTTCAGACAGAAGCCCCCACCCCTGCACAGCAGCCCCCTCCTCTGTGAAGGCCCCCTGACTCTCTGGTTCCACCAGATGCTCCCTGTGTTCTGAGCCCGTGGCGGTTAGAGCACCTGGTTCAAAGCCCAGCCTCACCAGTTACTGGCTTTGTGGCCTTAGGTGAGCTGTCCTGGCGTAGCCTCTCTGTGCCTCAGTTTATCTGTCTGTGAAATGGAGACAATCACAACACCTGCCTGGAGGGTCTTGAGGATTCGGTGGAATGGATACATACACACCCTCCGCCTGGCACCCGGGCCTTCGAGTCCCTTCGCTGTGATGATTAGAAGGAGATTTCACTTCCCTGCCTCTGTCCCTGCCAAGACCAAGCTCTGCTGGGATGTGGTCCTCTCTCTGCAGCCTGAGGGCCTGGCACGGGGCCTGGCACTGAGCAGAGCTCATGACTAGGAGGGAAGAATGAGCTGTGAAGGGGGCGTTGGGTGTGGGGCGTGGCCAGAGGGGGGAAGAGAGCGGGCATTCCGAAAGGGCGCGGTGGCCAGGCGTGGGCATGAGAGGGGCATCCATGGGAGGCGTGAGCCAGAGCCAAAGCCCGGAGCTGGGCCCAGGGGCGGTGGGGGCGGTGGTGAGGGGCCTTAGAAGGTTCTGAAGGAATTTCAACAGATTGTGACAGTCCGTGGTTCTCAAACATGAGGGGGGGAGGGCGCGTAAAACTTATTGTGCTCTTTGTGGGATACCATTAAGTACTCATCAGTTTGGTCACCAGGTTGAAATGGGAACAGTTTTACCAGTGGAAACTGTGTGTCCACCCACACAACCCCCCGGCCACCCGGCGCTCTGAGGTGGATGCAGCCCTGAGCCTGCTCTGCCTCCAGACTTGGGCGGGAGTCGTGGGGCCCGGCTCTCACGGGCAGCCCGGGGCCACCGGTCCTGGTGTTTGACGGCTCCCCGGTCACTGGGGCACCCTGGGCCGCACAGGGACAGTGTCACCCAGGCCCACTCTGTAAAAAGAGCTGCCACCTCTGGGCACCGGTGTCTTGGCTGTGACAACAGGGCAGGGCCCGAGGCCAGAACCACCTGGGCAGAGCACCCAGAGGCTGGCTTCCTCCCTGGCTCATTCATTGGACAGCTCCTCGCCGCCTGTGCCAGGCGCTGTCGTAGGCTCCTGGGTCCCCGAGAGCAGAACCAGACCCAGCCGGGGACAGGAGGAGGGGGCCCGTGGGAACTGTGCAATCGGTGTTCCTGTGTGTCCTGCTTCCATCGCTCAGCATAGCGTCTGTCCGTTTAACTCCTGCTGGTGCTGGATGGACGCTTGTTTTGTTTCATTGCTGCGTCTTCCATTGTACGCATGTACCACGATTTGTTTACCTCTTTTTCTGTTGACAGTCATTGGGGTTGCTTTCCATTTGGGGCTATTAGAAATAGGGCTGCGGTGGCCCTCGCTGGGGTGGCTCAGTGCATAGAGCATCGGCCTGTGGACTGAAGGAAGGGTCCCCGATTTGATTCCGGTCAAGGACACGCACCTCAGTTGCAGGCTCCTCCCCAGTCTGGGCCCTGGTTGGGGCGTGTGCAGGAGGCAACCGATCGATCCATCAATGTTTCTCTCTGTCTTTCCCTCCCTCTTCCGTTCTCTAAAAATCAATGGAAAAAATATCCTCGGGTGAGGATTTAAAAAAAGAAAAATTAGGGCTGCTATGAACATGCTTGTACAAGTCTTTTTGTGAGTATATATATTTCCATTTCTCATAAACACCTAGGAGTGGATGGTGGGCCTTAGGGCTGGTATATACTCAGCTGGACTTGAAACTGTTGGCGCGTTCTCAGAAATCCCTGGACTATCTGCTCTCCCGCCACGGGTCTGAGGCTGCGGGCGCTCTGTCCCTGCCCACGTCCCTGCTGTCAGTCTTTCTGATCCTGCCCAGTCACAGCCCAGGTCCTCATGGCTAGGGAATGGCGTACCTCGTTGTGGTTACATTTTGCATGTCCTGGTGGACTGGTGATTTTAATACCTTCACTGTGGACATTTGCATACCTTCTTGCAGGTGTGTGTTTAGCCTTTTGGCTGCTTTTTATTGGGTTACTGTTATCGCTGACTTTCCGTGTTCTTCAGTGTAGTCAAGACATGGGTCCTTGGTCAGATGTTCGTACAGTGAATGTTTATTCCCAGCCCACTTATTTTCTTTCTTTTTTTTTTTTAATATATTTTATTGATTTTGTACAGAGAGGAAGGGAGAGAGATAGAGAGTTAGAAACATCGATGAGAGAGAGTCATCGATCGGCTGCCTCTTGCACACCCCCTACTGGGGATGTGCCCGCAACCAAGGTACATGCCCTTGACCGGAATAGAACCCGGGACCTTTCAGTCCCCAAGCCGATGCTTTATCCATTGAGCCAAACCGGTTTCGGCCCACTTATTTTCTTAATGGTGTCTTTGATGATCAGAAATTTAACATTTTTATGAAGCCCAACTAGGCGATTTTATTTTTTAAAAATATATATTTTATTGATTTTTTACAGAGAGGAAGGGAGAGGGATAGAGAGTTAGAAACATTGATCAGAGAGAAACATCCATCAAGCTGCCTCCTCCACATACTGGGGATGTACCTGCAATCAAGGTACATGCCCTTGACTAGAATCGAACCTGGGACCCTTCAGTCTGTAGGCCGATGCTCTATCCACTGAGCCAAACCAGTTAGGGCCCAACCTGGCCATTTTTAAAAATGGTCTGTGCTTGTGTCCTACCAAGAAATCTTTGCCTATCCCCATTGCAGAAGTAGTCACCTAGTTTTCTGGTAGAAATTCTATGTTCTGGCTTTACACTTATGTCTGTGATCATCTCAAATGTATTTCTGTGTATGAAGTGAGAGGGAGTCAGGGTTCCTTTTGCCCTGGTCAGATATTTGGTTGTTCCCGACCATTTTAAAAAAAAAAACACATCCCTTTCCCTATCAATTGACTTGGTATCTTGGTCAAACATGGATTTGTCCTATATGTTTATGTTCTTTTCTGAACTCTCCATTGATTTTCAATGGGTGTTCCACAATAATTTTTAAAATGTGCAGTGCCTGGCTATTTAGTCAGGGCGCTGACCTTTTCCCCCTTAGATTTAAAAAAAAAAAAATGACAATAGCCAATACAATAGCTATTCTGTGTGAATGAATCAAAATTATACCTTCTTTGGTTAAATCAGCAATATATATATATATATATATATATATATATATATATATATATATATATAAATTTTTTTTGATGTGCTGCAGAATTTTAGTAATTAGTTTGTGTGCCATGAGCTAAAGATTGAAAATCACTCTCTACTCTGACCATCAGTATCTTTATCTTCATACCAATACCACACTGTGTAAATTACTGTCACTTTATAGTAAGTCTTAAAATCAAGTAGTCTAAGAATTTTTTATTTTTTCCCCAAAATTTTCCAGTCCATTAAAGATCCTTTGCATTTAT